CAGCGTCGACCATTTCGCGGTTTCGTTGCCAAACTTGCCGCCGACCTCGACCCGGCAGTGCTCGATCCGGCAGTGCCGGGCAGGGCCAAACTATGCCAAACTGCATGTGTGTGTTTGATACCCTTTGCGGCCTGCCGCGTTGGCAACGGCACGGAAGCCGTTGCCAACAACCTCAATGCGCCGCTCATCGGCATTGGGCGCATCGAGCTGAATTCATGTCCTCCACCCACACACACACACACACACCGCATGTTAGAGTCTAAGAAGGGCAAAGTGCTTGTGCTAGGATGGCCCCAGCTTCAGGGTGCGCTGTGAATGCTTACGTGGTTATGCGTGGGCATGACGTTGTAGCACCAGCCTAAGATGAGGCTGGTGCTATCTGGCGCTTGTGAAATCTTGTGCAGGCAACAGATCACGAGCCGCTGCCAGCCTGTGAAAGCCAATGGCCCGGTCACCACAGTTCAGGGAAGTCGGAGGTGGGCCTGCGCGCTCACAGTTGCCCAAGTCGGGAGCATCGTACAGCTGGCGGTGTAAATGTCAATGTGACCGTGTCAGAACGGCAATTGCAATGGACGGCTTGCAATGACCCTTCGCTGTGCAGTTCCCGGGAAGTTCCCGGAGGAGGTTGGCTGTGGTGGCAGGCAGGCCACCGCAGCCAGGCATGCATGCGTCGATGACAGGAAACGTGTCGCACCACATATGCCAGTTTTATCGCTTGCGCCGGGCGGTAGCAGCAACTGCAGAACTTGTTTTTTCTCGAGCACCTCGTTCTCCCCAAAGAAAACTATAAAACGGCATCCACGCTCACACGACTACGCCTGCGATCGGCGGTCTGTGCGCATGGCGCCAAACCAAAGGGCAGGCAGCCAGGGGCGGGAGCGGCTAGGCTGGCGGCGTTGCTCCGGCTTTGGAGTTGGTGCTGGGCCTCGCCGACGCGGTGGGGCCAAGTAACTTTCCAATCCCCTCCACTCCGGGCTTGAGAGCCCGCAGCAGCAAGTTCAGCATTCGCTGAGTAGCCCGTGATTCAACCGACGAAAGAGTTGGTGGCTGTGTACTGCTGCCGCATGGTCTTCGCCGCCAGCGTGCTTGCACTGCCGATCCCTGGCACTGACTCCAATGTGGACTGTTGTGTGACCCACAGATATCCTGTAGGGCTTCTCTTGTCTGGGACGCATTTGATGCAGTGGCACTGAGTTGGCATGGGATGGATAGCCTTTAGTTTGGCCAGCTCTCGTAGGAGGCTTGCGCTGATGATAGTTGCGTCCACTGCGCTGGAAAGTTAATGGTGTTCCAACATAGCCGAGCCGCGACATGTCAGCGCTCAGCCATATCGCACGTCGTGAATGGCCGCACGCCCAAGCGGTCACAGGAAACACCTGGCAAAAACTTTGTGAGCCTGCCTTCACAATATCAGCTCATGTGTCACCCTGAAATGGGAGCAGTCCCTTCAGAAGGACAGGCCGTGAAGAAGAGCCGCCTCAGAACCAAGCCAAAGGTAAAATGCCTGCCTGCCGATGCTCTTTACTCCGAACAGTGCCAAGGTGGGATGAGGACTCGTCATTCTGCAAGTTCAAAGCAACAGCGGAGCTCATCAGCTCATCAATTTTCGCCATTTTTCGCCCATCCACACAAGGTCGACGGGATGGTATGATGCGAAGATCGAGTGAGAAGCTATGTCGGCGAAGTTTAGCACTTTTGGCTGCAGGCCATGATGCACTTGACAGGCCTGCAACAAAGAAGCGTTTAGCTGTTAAAGCTCTGATTCTCGCAGGCCGGGCAAGTTCTGTTGCGCAGCTGCATGTCTGAATGTGTTTCAAAGCTGTCTCTGACAAAGCCCGTAGAAATGGCAAATAAGTGCAACGGAACTTGTCTGAAAGAAGCAGCCAGCTGAAGCTGCCTACTGAATTCCACTCGCTTCCCAGCTCTGCCCAGAGGCGGCGCTTAAAAAGTGCTTCTTGATTTAGGAGCTTCGCTCATCCCTACCGGTACCGGTCCCGGCCTCGTGGCACTCGGGCTGAGGCTCCAAAGCCACAGTCAAGAGCAAACGAGCTGGGAAAAATTGACCAAAGGTCCTCACAACCCCCGTCTCAGGTGTGCAAGGTGCAGAGGAAGCTGGGCGCATCGCCCTCTCAATGAGGTATGCTGGATACATGGAATCCTGGTAGGGTGGATCAGCTCTCTGCCTCTCTAGCAACGCTTCTCTGTCTTCTGACATGTCTCGACACTGGCACTTGTTCCCCTCAGCTACACCAGCAAAACTGGCGGGGCTTGCGAGCTCCATACCTTGCTCCTGACGCAAGGTCTGAAAACACAAACTACTGTGCAAGCAATCTTGTGGAAGCGTGCATGCAGGCCATCAGGGAGCAGGGGTTTCAGAGGGCCCCGAACCCAAGAATGTGAACAATGCCCTTGGCCTATCCTAGCTCAACAACGTGTGACGCCCAAAACTGCCTCCAACTTAGGGCCGAACATGCACGAGTCTGACAGCAATGCCGTCTACAATTCAGCATGCACCTGCACCATAGTTGTCATAATTGCTCTCTGTTGCCAGGTGCCTTGCTGCCGCGGTGTAGACAAGTCTTGCCGCCGTTGTCCACAGCACTGCAGGATTTGCAGATACAGCTTGCATTGCATAACATGCATCGGTGCGGCACGCGTGCACAGCATTAGGAAGCAAATGGGACCGGCAAATCCTGATGGCAGATGGTTGCTCGTCGGTGGGAGAATTTAGCAGCATAGCTTGAGAAATACAAACAGCTACAGGTAGGACCGAGAAGATAAAGCAGGTCAGACTACTGCCACTATGTACTTGTCGATCAACACGCATCAGCAGGTCACGATTTTTAAGGATGTATAGTCTTACCCGTTTGCCGTTGTCTCTGCGGTCACCATAACTTCCTCACAAGGCGGCGCGGTCATTCAAGGCACGAACAGGCAAAACGACGAAGGGCTGCAGCAAAGTACTCCATCATCAATTTGCATGGAATGGACCCGGTGCCTTGAACTGCCCTGCACACACGGGTGCCGCTTGTGTTGCGCATACTACGGAAATCTGAATTTGATGCATGCAAGGTGCGATTGTCTAGCCTGCATGTCCTGGCAACATCGCACCGGTACTTCGAGATAAACTGGGCTGTCTGACTCAAGCGAGCGGATGCAAGCCAAAACAGACATGTGATTGCCAACTTTGTGCAAGTTCTGGCCTGCCCGATCGAGACAGACTTTGAGATGACTTGGCGAATCACAGCGCGGACTCAGGCTCGGCTAAGGTCGAAAATCAAGCGTGCCAGGATGGTAAGAAAAGCTAGGTCCACAAAACGCAGACCGTGCTTATTCGCACTTTTCAGGCATGCTGTTGCTAAAGCCTCCGCCCCGCTTTGCTGTATTTGACCAGCGCAGGGACATCCCGTAGCCCAGGTGAGAGAGCCCTATGAAGAAGCTTTTGCACAAGATCTAATCCGGGAAAACCTGTGAACAGAAGTACGTGTATGGATATACACATACATGTATAAACATACATATATATATATATATATATATATATATATGTATATAGTACAGGATAAGTTATAAAACATACATACATACATGCATACATGTATGCATGCATGCATACATATGACATGTGTATATATATATACATATATGTATGTATGTATACACATACATTCATTTCATGTCACTCACTCGTTCGTTCATTCATTCATTCATTCATACACGCACACACAATGATATACTTCTGGGTGCGCACTCTCGCTTGCGTATGACAGAATAGGGCTCCTTCCTAGGTCTATACAGGGTTCCATCTTCAGCTTCACTGCTGATTCCCACACATGTCTGGAAATTGCCTACATGCACGCTGGAGTCCCTGCGCATCAGCATGACCCAGCAGATTCAAGATAAGATCGGCCGTCGGGATTGTGGCGATGAGATTTGCGATGGTGCCCCGTGCAAACCCAGCACCCTATCGGCCCTACAAGTTCGGCCAACGACTCAATACTTCGAGTAATTGCTTGTCTCAAGCTGTCTCTATCAATGATGCTCCACGAGGCATCTTGAAACCTCCGAGCAATTGGCAACCCTCTACACTGGACATGAATGGTTCTTCCATAACCAAGTATCCATGCTTCGAGCGAACCTTTTTAGCTACCCGGGACAGTCAAAACGCTGAGGAAGAAAAAGCAGACTTCCGACTCACACCTCCGACTCACACCACCCTGAATATGCCTCGCCCCGGTCCCCAGCAACCATTTCCTGTGTCCCTTAAAACTTTTCCGCTCTCCCTCTTTTGTCACTCTGATAACACCAGTTTGCTGTGACATCTACATCGCATCTGCAATCCCTCAGCAACCTCACAGCCCGATCCAAGCCACGCGCCCTGAAGTTTTACAACATGCCCAGCCCTCAGACGCCAAACTCTGGCTTCACGTCCGTGAGTTCCATAAAGTACATGCAACTTGTACGCCCAAATCACAGGCAACATAACGATAGAACGCAAGGAGGGTTCTGACTGATGCAACAGTGTCATCAACAAGAACAACAACGACGGTGAAGAAGCAAACGAAAACAACAACGGCAACAGGAACAGAAACACCAGCGGTGACAGAAACCACAATAATCACAACGACGACAGCAGCAGCAACAATTTCCAGTAACACTTTAATGCTAAAACTAGCGGCAACAGCAGCAGCAGCTGCACTCGTGCACAAGCATTTGCTGCGTCTGTATTATTTACAGATATACATACATATGCTGAATCAGTACATTTGTACGTATGTATGCATGCACGTATGCATGCATATGCATGCATGTACGCATGTATGTGAATGCTGGTATAGTTGGATGTATGCAGGAAAGGGCACGTTGACCGTAGGTTGCTCCTGTCTAGAGAATATTATGCTTGCACTACCATAGGGCCCATTGTACTATAATTATTATACGGAACTCCCAAAAGAGAATTGGTACTTATCGAGGCACCTATGTCAGACCACGGGTTTTCGTCATCTCCCACGCCGACCCCGGCCGCCCTTGGACTCGCGACCAGCTTTTCCAGTGTCCGGGCCTGGCTCGGGGCTTCCGCTTCAGAAGCAGAAGAAATGGGGAGTTTCCGAACATTAGGGGTTTCCTAAAGGGTTCCTCTAAAGAGCTATTATAAGGGTACCATCAGGGTTGCTTGAAAGGGCTCCACAAGGGTTTAGGGTTTCCGAAAATTAGGGGTACCTTGTTTTGGGGTCCTTCTAACAAAGATCATACTATTTGGGGTGCTATAACAGCCAAATCTTTACTTTAGGAGATTGAGAGGACCTTACGGCAAGCAATCACCTCTTAGGATCTGAGGATTGTGTGGCAGCTGGAACATACCCTTACCATGACTTCTGGAATTGTCCTACGCTTCCTGGGAGCATCCGGAAAAGTTAGGCAGTGTGACAAAGCACGAGCGCCTGCAATGCCACAGTAGCGCTGCACTTCCTCCCACTGCCTGAAGTCGATCTCATTCAGGCCTCGGAGATCGAAAGCAGATTAGAACTGGATTTCACATCACGGGCTCGGGATGTCGAGTAAGAAACCCGGAGCTCCCTCCCCTCACCGGTCAACAAGTGATAAGCTCGAGCTCAGGACTTGTCTGAACGAAACCCCCCTTCCTCGCAATAAACAAGGCAGAGCCATTCACTCGGAACTGTCCATGCCTGAAACACTCCAATACAGGTCTTGCACAGGATTCTGAGGGCGTGGCTGTGCATGCGGCCGGCGAAGGCTTGGCCAATACCATGTGCCAAGGGCGTCATGACCTGCGGGGCAGCGATGAACAGGCTACAGCGCTGATCTTGCACGGCACCAGGTTTCGAAAAATTGCGGGCCTTGTGAAAAGAAGTTCCCCGGTCATGTCAATCTTGCTTACGTCTTTCGTGCCACTTGCTTGTGAGCCCGTGGATATTCCTTGCATGGCCACAAAGTTACCAGGCCCTACAAGGGACAGGCAACCGTCGTTTCCACCCCTGCTCGCAGAGTTCGTTCCTCGCACATCCTTTCAGTCCGGCTCTTGCTGGTTCGCCTGAGCAAAGCCAAAGACATCCTTCCCTGCCCGACTCTGGCATTAAAGCTGGAAATACTCGTGTGTATGCGCTCCTCTGCAAACATGTTTTCCGAACCCATTCGACGTGGTGTAGATGATTTTATACGAAGTGTACGAGCTGCTGGAGGGTCACCGGCATCCGAAAAAGTCTCCAAGACGGCTCTATACGGCTCTCCTAGTCCCTGCCCCGCATCTTCTCATGCAGCACCTACCGCCTTAGGCGAGCCAGGCGTTCGGCAGCGGCAGTCGGTAAGTACAGGGAATCATCAGTGACTTGTTTGCATGCTTGTGATACGGTTTCTGGCATTCTGGGCCCACACTGAGACAGAACAGAACAGCATGACGGCAAAACTCAGCACTTGCATCCGTGAAGCCTCCCATGAGAGACCGGAATATTCAAAGCCTCCACTGCGCCTTGCCTCCAAGTCGAGCTTCAGCCGCACTGCAGACAAAGCAATGTTCAACCTCGGAGACCGAAGACTCAATGCGCGGAATAAGGCAGGTCGGTATGCATTTTTCAGGGTCGGGAGTACATGGTTCTGAGGGCTGGAGACGGGCTCTAATCGGAAATCGGACACTCGATCACCTACAAGACCAAAACTCAGCATCAACGACCGCGAGGCAGATATGACATGGCATGAGCATGTGTAGGCTCTAGTTTCAGCCAGGTGTTCGACCTACAGGCCGGACCAGTCTTTTTCAGCGCTTTTGGTGTCCATGCTTCTTGCTTCGGATCTGTTGTTGCGTTCAGTCGGACTGTATCATTCTGTTGCCGCTTCTGGTACAAAACTCGATTTTTGTTTATTCGGGTTTCATGCAAGGATGCCCTGTTTATGCCCTGGGTTGTGCATTTTCATCGGGTTTTGCTGCTTATGATGCTTGATGCTCTGTGACTCATGTCATTGTGTGACCTTGCATCCTTACTGGTTGCACCGAGCATCCGCCCGAAAGATGACAGCGTGAGTGTTACCAGCGCATTCACTGGGACCGAGCATCCGTGCCGAGGCTATGTTTTGGGTTTGAGACCTACAGCTGTCTGATTCTATATCGTATTATTTGATAGTCTTGTATAGTATAGCTGCATTTCGGGTTTCGATTATTTCGGGCCGGGGTTTGGAGACTTGCTTTTCGAAAAACGACACTTTGGATTGCAGACCTGATGTTCAACTTGAGTTGAGGGTTTTCGGAAAGGGATCCCGGTTCCAGGGAGTTCAAAAGTTTTTTCAGGAATTTTGGCCTTGTTGGAAACTTGGCCCGGCACCCGAAATAGTTGAAATCACAATCCAGAATTCCTGATGTGTACGGGCACAAAGGCGGCAGGCCAGCCATCTAGCTAGTTTTTGCGTCCCCCCCATCCACACCTAAGTTCAACACGAATGTTCAAGTGTTGCTGGAAAATGGAAAAGCATCCACTTCGTCGCAACACTACAACCACAGGGACACCTCGACGTTCACAGGTGCAGCCTGGCGGCAGCGCCTGTGTGCCGATTTCCGTGCATCGTCCGCCTCAGTGCATGCAGGAGTTTCAAATGCCGTGGTTTGACTAGCCTCACTGCATTCCGAAATGGTGCGCTATCCCGCGATCATGCTGACGACAGCCCGCTCAGACTTTGCCTGAGGGCGCGTGCTGGCTCGGATCACCACCTCTCGTGCAAGTGTCTGCACCTGTCCATGTTTCGTCACGGCAAGCAGTATGTCAACGTTCAGAACCGTAAGAGCCGTACTTACTGCCATGTTGGCGGACGCGCTTTGAAAAGCACATCGCTGTTCGTCATGCTCATTTCGGTGGCAGGGAGTCCGAGACGGTTTTGGGAAAGGACACATGTGTGCATTTGAGGGAGCATACATTAACGAGGAAGTCGGATCAACAACGAGATGTCCAGAAAACGCATCAGGCACAAATGCTTGGGCTCTGCTTCACATGGCCCAACAAGTGTAGCTTCATCCGAGAATTTGTCGGATGCACATCCGGATTGCATGAGCTATCAAATCTTGCATGCAAGCCTCCATGCTGCTGTGGGGCGAGGTGTTCATGAGCGCACTGACAATGCCAGAACAATCCTTGCAGCATTCTCGCAAAGTGAGCTCCACTAAAGTCCTGCAGACTCTAAAACATGGACTTCAAAACCGGCCCCGACCTGGTTGTATTTTCCGCTCCGGATCAAGGCAAGATGCCCTCAGAAGCCACCATGCCCCCTTGTAAGATGTATATATGCCTCTACAAGCAGTGTAGGAGTACATATGAGAATAAGATGACCAGTGCTGTCAGTGCAATACGATGAACCAGTTCACACCCACGCTCTGGAATCTCATACGGGGCAGAGACAATCACGAGATTCCCGGGTGTATCATTCATTCAACCAGCGACCCTGGTCACCCCTACAAAACACCGGAACTTGCTTCACTTGCCAACAAGTCCTTGCCCAGTCAATCCGAACCCAACATCCAAAACAAAGTGCACCAGCCCAGACTACTAGGTGCTTTTCTGCGAAAGTGCCTTCTTCAATGCTGAGCCGAGCCCTGCAGGTCCTGCCAAGAAAACTCGTCGATCCTCCTCATGGCCTCTTCTGCCGCGGCTTTGCCGAAGCGTGATAGAACCTGGCAAACATGAGCACTACGATTACGACGACGAGAGCTGCTGCTTTTTGCTACCACGGCCACCAATGTCACAAACATATTACCATCTACCTCAAATAGAACAGATGAAATCTAAAGTTATGTCAATCACCACCACTCTCGCAGCCGCTGCCGAAGTGGCACCTGCTAGACAGCAAAAGGCACGGTTCCTTTTTGCAGCTCTTCCCGTCATAAGGCTATCGTGCAAGCAGAATCATGACTGTCAGAACTGCATCAATGATTAGACTAGGTCAAAACCCTCTTCGAGTGATCCCGTGTGTAGCCTTCCCTCCACATGTAGAGGGCGCATTCCTGCGGGCATGTTCCTTTGACGATGACGATGATGTTAATAATGATGACGAATGCTGACGAAGGCGGCTGACAACGATCAAGAGGGATACGGTATGTCGACAGAAGTGCTTTGCAGATTTACCGAAAGTCATATTGAAAGCAGCAAGCAGTTGCATCTCCCGGCAACAGATTCAGTAACAGCCACAGCAAACTCGAGAAACACCCGACCACCAGAAAGGCAAGCAAAGACCTGATTGCAGCACAACCAACAACACGCCGAGCAAAACTAATCAACTCAAGTATGATGATGCGCCATCAACAAGGCTAACAGCAAAGACTAAAGCCCCGTAACAACAACGATAGCCAACACAATGACAATACCTGATTAAGAAGAGGAACAACAAGCACAAGAACAAAGACCACTACACCAACGACAGCGATAACCAGAACAAGAGCAAAAGCAAGAACAAGAGCAATGACGAGAACAGCACCAATAACAGTAAGAATAACACCAACAAGAACAATGACAATGATAACACCTAATGAAGGCAAAGAACAAAACTAAGAAGGCAAAGGTGAACCCGTAAGCTGGGCAACCGCAATCACCTCCCACGCCCGTAAAAGACAACACAACCCAAACGAAACGACCCAGCACATCCCAGCACCGGACAGCAAAGCACCAAACAGCACAACACAGAACAGCACAACACAGCACCCCAAAGCACCGCACAACACAGCACAACAGGGCTTGCATCCCAAAGAAACCAAAGCAGGCACATGCTCGGCTGGAACCTTCCGGGCCAGCTGCCACTGTGCTTGCTGTGCGACTCGTAGCCGGCAGGTCGATAGACCCAAACCAGATGAGATCGACAAATTTCCCGTGACAGGTAAATCACACAATCGCAGAAGCCTTCCTGCACCTTGCATCATCAAATCATATCAAGCCTCCGAACTCTGAAGCCACAACGAAAAGTGGTCCGAAGCTGGCACGACCAGCGGATGCTCTCCAGCGGCAGTCGCAAAGTGCTGTCTACACTAGTTCCCTGATGACCTCCTCTTCCTCTGTTCAAGTCTTTTCCGTCGCCAGCGTCGGCAGCAGGATCGCCATCTCGCCGTGGCCGTCGTATTTGGAACGCGAAGCAGACAAATTGCAAACTACACACGACATGGCGCTGTACTGCGGAATTTTTCTCGGTAGTCTACACTTACGCTCTAACTCAACGTCACCAAAAGAGATCAACAAAGCAATTCCCCTATATATGTCTTTGCAACCGTATGAACGCATTCTGAGTTGTTCGAAAATCATCCAGTCCGTATGTTACAATTCAAGAATGCCGGCAACACGGCTTCCTTGCGACCCAAGCGGTTGAATGCCCAGCAGCAGTTGGCTATGGCCTCTCGACGCTGTAAACTTGGGCTATGCGGAGCTCAGGTCGCAGGTCGGATTCGGCCCTTCGTGTGAGAGTGGGAAGTGGCCTTCCCACTTGGGAGTTTCCGAAAATAGGGGATTCTGATATAGTAGCCTGAATAGTAGGATCCATATTAAAAGGACCCCACCCACTTACAAGAGGCTAAACCTTCAGTAAGTCAGGGGTTACAAAACTACAGAGCCCGCGGAACCCTTTCAAAGCTCATGAGCTCTGTATGCTTCTTTGCTCCTAAACTCGACTGCAAAAGAAGCGAATTCATCCCATACTTAAAATTCCTGCACACCTATGCCCTGTACAAGATGAACTCGAACTAAAAGCCAAATGAGCTACAAGCCCTGGCCCTCGCACCTGCGGAGGGTATGCCCGGATGTTCGCGGCTGCCTCGAGCAAAAGCCGAAATCAACTGGGCTTTGGTCCATACACAGTACAACAGGAACAGTCCGATGCACTGGCGACATTCGCTATTCGGTTCAGATTCTCGGATCCGTCCATGACTTTTGCTAGGGTCCCAAAGCTCCTTTCTAATGTCTTCTGAAAAATAGCACTCACATTTCTAACAATCTCTTGGAGGTTGAATTGAAAATGCTTTGTAAGATCACTGCATCACGAAGGGGATGCCGTGAATCTCAAGACTCGCCGGCTTTCCATCGCAGGGTTCAGGGTGTCGGGGCAGCACACCAAAACGGAATGTCCATGCAAGTAATCATCTTTCTGTGGGTCCGACGCTCATGATCACTGGGTACCCAGGATCAAAGTCCTGAATCTAGAACTTCCAGTTTACGAGTTCAGGATCCTTGGTTTCGGCAGCGGAAGCGGAGCACTTGGAGCTGCAGAGCGCAAGAGAGAAAGTACTAACTACTCTTCGTCACCGGCCAGGGTTGTAGACCATGGGCTTGGAGATTCAGCCAACTCAAGGTCGAAAACACCGCCAGTACCACCACTGCCAAGAACCACCCAGCCGACCACCGCTTCAACCAATATGAAGACCACCACCAGCTAAGCCTTTCATCGGGCAGACGTCAGCCGGGCTGCAACTTGGGCCGCCAGGTTGAAGAAGTTGTAAGTGTCAAGGCTGGTGACCATGTCCAGGGTTGCCTCATCTCCATCAGCATGGGACAGTAGCTACAGCTCCATCTACAGTACTCTGCATCCAATAGTTTAGGCGGCACAAAAGGTTATGGACAAGCGTAAAGCAAAGGACCGAGATGGCTCAGAAAGCAGCTGCAATCAGGCATCACTGCCGAGCTGGCGACCTTATTGAGCCTTAGTGGTAACTGCTCTACTTGTAGCACCAACGGCATTGGCAGCAGCAGCAGCAGTACAAGTTCTAGCAATTGGCAGTATTAGTGGGGGGCGAAGCTAGTGCTGGTGCTTGTGCTGTTATTGGTAGTCGTGGTGAGGGGGTAGGGGGTACTAGTAGCAGCGTTGCAGAGTAGAATGAGACAACAGGCAGTCAGTACATCGCGAGCGGCCACGATTAAGGCCGAGCCCACTTGGAGTTTCAGAAAACCCTATAGACCCTGCTGCAGGCAAGTCACCAAAGACCAAGCGATGGTTGACACGCCCTGCCACGAGCTGCGGATTATCGAAAAGAGTTGGCGCTGGAAATGTCACCCTCAAGGCCGCGAGCCCTGACAAGAACGATATGCAACATGATCGGACTCAGGTACGGTCAGGGAATTTATGCATCAGTCCAGACATGCCCCTTGCTGCTGCTTTGCTTGCCACATGTGACATGTGAACCTTAGACTACATCCGAGCTGTAGAGACCAAACAGTTGCAGGTTGAAGTCCGCACTCCTCAAGCCCATGACAACATTAATATGACTGCGAGCAATAACATGCAATAACAAAAACAAGAATCACGAACATACCGCTAAAACCTGGGCGTAGCTGAAATTGTATCAGCCTTGCAACAACAAGGCTGCGCTAGAATACCGTGATGCCGTCAGTGACAGCTAGTATAGTGGCCAGATCAGGAGTTCCCGTCCTGCGGGCTGAAGTCGTGGATGCGCGAGGTGGCTTCGACGGCAACCGCCTCTGCAAACCTGGCGTGCTTGGTATTTGTGGTGTCGCAACAACCGTTATCACTATGCGAGTATGATTCCCAAAACATTGTGCTGACGATGTGACACTGTATCGCTGAGAGTAGAGGGATCGGGTTCGTGGGCCTGCTAGACGTGCGCAAGGATCACAAGGTGGCTCTGCGTTCCCACTGCGGCGTACCACACACGTTCGAGTAAAATCGCGTTCTATCCAGTCATCTAGTGATTGTCTTGGTGCTCTTCGTAGCACTTTGCGGAGCGATTCGCGGGTGCGGCTTGGACTGTATGGTGGTTTGGCTGGGCAGAAACGTCAAGATGAAAGAACACGAACGACCACAACAAGAAAGCCACCAAAATTATCTATTCTAAGTTCTGCTGTCTGTTGGAGCCACGGACTCTGGGCTTGAGACACAGCATTCTTCATCTGTGCGTTTGGACTTGCAGCGTCCTTGTGGACATCCGACACATCGAAACCCTAGACCTCAAGACCTCGCAAGCCCCGTACCCCAAGACTTCAATTGCCAAAGATCCCCCGGACTCCAGAAGCTCAAGCCTCTGACACTTCCGGCCCAACCCAAACACGCTCACAGACCGGGGCACGAATTCTTACATGGGAGTTTCCGAAAATTAGGGGTACCTTATTTGGGGGTCCTTCTAATAAGGATCCTACTATTTGGGGTTCTATCTTATTTTCGGAAACCCCCACATGCATGAGAGCTTTGGCCACGGCATTTGAGGTGCAAAGACAAACCGAGACCATCAACCCTGAACGTCAGCGGCACAAGGTTCGCACCTAAGGCCTCGACGCCTCAAAGGTTCCCGTCTTTGAGGCACTGTACCCAAAGGCATGGGCCATAGCACAGGCACTATCAAACCCTAAACCCTAAACCCTACTATCGGATCGTAGAACATCATAACCATTGTGGAAAGACTCCAGGTCTCGAGCAACCCTGGCTGCGGAGCCTTGACACCGCCTCGAAAGCGTCGCTGGTCTTGTTGGCACGAGCCCTGGGACACGAAGGGCTCCAAAGGCTTAAGGATCGGGCCGAGTGTCCGGGGCTTGTCAACAAGAGCAGGATTAATGATGGAAAACACTGTGTAGTACATTGGCTACCCCGCTGGAGGAATCCAAGCTCCTGAGGCTGGCCTTCGGCCAATCAGCTTCGCCATGGCCCAGAGTGCCATGGAGAGCTCCTGCGTAGGGTGGAAGTTTAGGGCTGCACACCAGGCGATGAAGACACTAGGGCCTAGGGGTTGAGGCATCGGGTGCATGCGCACATTTTCGGACCGTTGGACCAGTCCGCAATTTCGGGCTCTGCACCGAACAGCACTCTCCAAACAACTGAGGCCTGTGGAAAGAAGAGCTTCAGCAGGTCTTCGGAAGCCATCGCACGCCTTGCTGCATCGATGCAAAAGCGCCCCACGACCTGTCACCGAGGAGTCAGTGCGTGCTCAATCTCAAGCGGCCCAACACAAGCACCATGCATTGAACCTGAACCAGAGGCATCTGATTTACCTAATCATTATCAGTCACCGATCTCTCTTGCCTGCATGCTGACGCCGGAAGGAGTGAGGTTCCTAATCAATGACGATGACCATGTGGGGCAGCGGGCCCGCTAAGAAGTGTCGACAGTGATAGCTGCTCGCTGCAGCCCTTCTGCCACACTTCCGGAGCGACATTTTCAACTTGTGCTGCCACACACGGCCTCCATGTCCAAGATTGCCTCCCGGCTGTCTGACTGGAGCTTGGCACCTGAAGTTTGGGTAATTACATGCGGAGGCTTCGGATGATGAGGTCACAGGCCGCATCGCAGCCAGTCTCAAGCTTGGGCAAGGGGCTGGTTGCACTCAGAAGTTCGGTTTTGTGACTCTGCTGCCGCTATCTGCAGCTTCTGTTGTTGCTGCTGGCACTGGTGGCACCACCACCACGAACCACCATGTTTTGCTGCTGCCTCTGCAATTTGTTGCAAGTAGGATATCAGGGCTAGGACAACTGGACTGATTTGAGATCCCTTCGTCTGAGGGAGCAGCAGGCCCAGAGGCTGTTGGCGAGACCCTGTGGGGACATCTCCTGCTCGCCCCAGCAGCATCTCAATCATCGATTGCCGGTGGCTGCATGGCTTTGGCTTCAGGCCAGTAACTGAGAAGGGTTTCAGGCAATCGGTGGCGATCTCGTCCAAGTTAGCTCCACCGAATTTGTCCAATCCAAGCGCAAATCATCCCCTGAAGCTTTGAAGCCAACGGCATACCATCATAATCACGGGCTGAGAGTATGTGTGGAGTGCATGTGGTCGTCAAGGATGCTCCGATCAAACCTTCCACTCCGGTGGTTGCACCGCCTGTGAAACTCGAGTGCGAGGTGATCGGCATTGCTGTAAACTCACAAAAAGGCCCGAACTATAATGCAAACACATGCGGCGAAACAAAACGGTTTACGATGGACAGTACTGTACATGATCAACCCGATTCAAGACAGCATAAGACTGCCCACTACTGCGAAACTGCGGCCGTGCAAAGGGCAGCCAGTCCTTGAACAGCACCAAGTGAATTTGGCTCAGGCACTGGTTGGAAAAATCTCGCACTTCCTCGCGCAGCACCGCTCTCATGGCTGAATGAATCCCATGCTGTGCTCCAAAAGCCAAACCAATGCCTGCACTGTAGGGCCTACACCAACCAAAGCCATGACTTCTTGTACCTTGCACAACTCCAGGCTACCCAACTCCCCAGTCCTCGCCGCGCAGCCCCAGCTTGGCAACTGCCCAGAGGCTGTTGGTGAGGCACCTTTGTGATAATACTCCAAGGCAGCGGCGGTGGACCAAAGACTTCTGGCGCTAGGGCTTTCCAGCTCAACAGCCCAAGTTCCGCTCCTCAATGTTAATCCTTCCGTACGTTCCATCTGGACTCCAAACATTCACTCGCCCCTACCCTGAGCGACAGGGCTGTGTGCTGAACTGCGAGAGCCGTGACACGCCTGTCCCAAGAAAGAGAACATGTCGTGTTTGTGGTAGGCTTGCTGTACACCAGGACTATAGAAGGGCTGGAATTAGCTAGATGGGCTGGCCAAGCAGGATTTCTGGCATTATGGATATTTAGTTAGGATTTCTTTTTGGGTTGGCACTGTGGGCTGCTATAAGAATCGGAGCAGACTGCGGAAGTGTAAATCAGGTGAGACTTGTGGTTCAGGGTCCATTGAAGTGTTGGATTGCTACGGCTGCATAGGCAAAGCGAGCATGACCACCCCCTTTTCACCATACGCGCCCCCATAATGACCGCAGAGACCAATATGACCGACATCCCATTGCCAAATGAGAAACCAGAATGAAATTTCGCACCGCTCCGCCCCCTCCCCAAACCTTGCGCCATGACAGTGTAGGCGAGCCTGTGCGGACAGTGCGACCAGCGCACAGGGCTGAAGGCTGCAGGACTCAAAAGGTTCAGCGTCAATCTTGCGGAAGGGCTTCCAATGGCTGCCAGGTGCTAAAGTACACACAGCCCTAGACATTGTGCGAGAACCACAGCTGGTAGGTCTGCGGCCGAATTCCTTCCGGCTTCAGACCTTGCATGCTCTCGCTCAGCCTGCGGCAAGGGTTAGGCTTGATTCAGGCCTTGAGCTCTTCAGATATCATTGGGGACAAGCCTTAACAATCGATCATTGTGTTCACAAATGATGAAGGTTGCAGATGGCTCAGGATGTCCCCAGCCTTCGACAAATCTACAGTACACCCAAAACCCTGTCCAGCTTGGGGTGGTGGCGGTGGATAGCGAAGGCTCGAATCATCCTTCATGCCATCAAGTTGCTGGACCGAACCTACACATTACGACTCTTGCTCTCGATCTCAAGGCCCCAAGAGCCCTGAAGCCCAGGTCCCGACCTGGCGAGCCCCCACAAAGTGTTGGAGAGCTCTTGGCACCTGGAGGTTGCGACCCAATTAGTAGGTAGGATCCTCTTAAGCCCAACAAGAGCAAATATAAAATGTCCCAAAGCCCTACCTAGCTACTATGACAAAATACGATCACAGATGTTTAGACACACCTCTGGGTTCAGAGATCGCAGGGGGTGCCGGGGTGCTGTGAAAGCACATGCTCCATACCTTTCGGCCTCACCCATGGTGCTCGTCTCTGGGGCACCGACGAAAACTGAGTCAGTATGGGCCTTGGCGAGCAGCTTGCAGGTCCAACAACTATCAGCTTTCAATGGAGTCGGATCGGTTCTCTTCCAAACTTCGCAATAGCCAGGACTCACCGATTTCCGTACATAATCCCTTCCTCCGAATATTAAACCCTCCAATACAAAAACATCCGGCCACCGGAATTTTGCGGTGTTGGGCCCATAATTGAAAGTTAATTGCAAACAACAGGGGGTCGCTAGGATTGTACTAGTTTTAATGGAGCCAAGACTGCAGTAGCACTAAACCGAAAGGACCAGGGCTTTAGGGTCTGGGGGCTTAGTGCTTATGGTTTAGAGCTTCAGGGTTTTCAGGGTTTGGGGCTTAAGGTTTAGGGCTTAGGTAGTATTTACCGAAGGAGCAGCTCATGATTACGGTCAATCCGGCTCGTACCCGGATGCTCCGAACCCCCCTAGTATAAAAACGTCGGCCCCGAAATCATGCTTTTATGTTGGGGGAGGGGGGACCCCTTCAATGTCAGGGGGAAGGGCTTTATCTTGAACCAATGGAAGACAGTGGTTGCCCTCATGATCCTAATGGTCTGTACTTATGTCTGCTGGACACTCGCTGCGTCTTTGTGTAAGTCCGTTCAAGCCAAGCTGCTGTGAAGTTTCGGCGAGCACAGCGATGATGCCCTGCCAGATTATGATCTTGCTGATTTCTAGACTGACGCTTTCCGCCGCAGCTCCTTCCGTCTGCAAATCTTCAATTCAAAGCGGATTTCCTGGCGTTTTCAAAGCAGCATGACCTCAGGAACATGGAGACACTCGACCCAGGAACACCCAGCGGCGTCGAGAGCCTTAACTACAGGCCCTAACACAAAAGCCGTCGCCTGGACATCCCGACCTTTTAGTCCCAGCTTGCCAACGGCCCAAACAGTTCCTTAGGCGAACACGGAAGGCACATTCACAGGTCACTGCCTACCCCCCCGGTGCAACAAGCCGTGCTTGCATATGTGAGACTTGCAACAGATTCCGTATCGGGCTCAGGAAATGTCGCAGACAGCAGCAGTGCAGTTCCAGAAACCTGCTAATATACATGTATCCGGATTTCGCAGAATAGATCGGCCATGGCCACACGGTCATACGTCTTCTTCCGCGCTTTGCAGACAACGAAAAGGAAAAACCCTGGGCCCCTTGCTCATAATAGCACGCGAATAAGTCAGTTCGTAGGCCTTCGACCTGGCATGCATTTGGAAATCGGAGTGGGCAGGGCAGGGCATGCTGCCGCCGATGGTCCACAACTGCCAAACTCCTGACCCAAGAATCGAAGACGGCAAACCCAAGAAATGCCGCTGCTCCAGCCACCCTGCTTCCCCCTTCCATGCGCCTGAGTGCTGACAGAACTTTCGCCAGACGAGGGTCGTTTAACAGATTGTCCAATCCTGATGCAGGGTGGCCGAATCTTGTGACACCCACATTTGCCTTTGATCCTCGAAGCCAAAGCAAGGTACTTATTCCAATCCAACCCAGATTGACGGGATTGAATTTGCCTGTGATTCTGCAGGCCAGCACAAGTGTGCTCTGTTCCAATCAACATCGACAGGTTGGCATTTGTTCTTGATTCTTGAGGCCATTGCGAGCGTGCTTTCTCCGATCTAGATTGACGGGTTTGGATTTGCCTTTGACCCTTAAGGACATTGTAAGCGTGCTTTACTCCAATCCAGGCTGACGGCTTTGGATTGGCCTTTGATACTCAACGTCCTTGCATGCTTGCTCTACTCCAATCTACATTGACGGATTTGGATATGCCTATGACTCTCGAGGCTATTGTCCTTTTCATGTCGGATGCCCATTCAACTAAGCCGTTGAAATCCTTGGGTACTTCCAGAAGGCCTAAACTAAAGTTTTGCAGCTTTCTCCAACCACGTCTGCAGGGGTTTTTAGCAAGTTATTGTTGTTGCGGGACCCGTTCAAAACAACTAACATAAGATTTAAACAATAAGTTCGTGTTAGGCTAGGAGCCGATACTTCGGAATGACCGAAGCAGCTTCCCGCACAGGGGACTCCTTGTGTCTTTTGACTGCGAGATCCCTGTGATCGACGGCCTGAATCAAGGGCTGCTATTGCTACCGCCCAGCCGAGACAAGGACAACTACTTCACTGCTTTCCCGCCGACTCTTGCGGGAGTCTCGAATTGTTGCGGGACAGAAGAAGAAGGCATGTCGGCGAAGATAACTCAAGTCCCTCATGCTGACGTGCAGCAACAGGTTCTCAGATTCTGCAGCCTGTAAACAATCATGAATATTTAAAAGTACCTAAAGCTGATATAAACATTCATCCTAGAATTCTCCAAACACGCAACTAACACCTGGTAGCTTGAGCTTCGGTGTCTCTCCTCCGATGGCGCCGTAGGCGTCGTTCTCCGTAAGCTTTGCGATAGTGTGGAGACAGGACACCTAATCCGATGACGATGATGTTGCTTCTTGTAGCTTCTTGGAGCACCATGGGAATTACAAGTATGAAGATCTGCCAAAGGCACCAGCACAAGTAGCCTATTCATCTCATGATCAGTACTGCTACGCTATTCCGCTACTCGTCGTCGTCTACAGGATATTGGTAGTGGTAGTGGTAACAGTAGTGGCACCACTAGTACTCAGCAGCTTTCATACAATAGTAGTCGGGTGTCATCGCACATAGTACTTGTAGTACATAGTACCAGTAGTCGGCGCAGTAATCGTAGTCGTCGTAGTTAGTAGTAGGAGCAATACTGGCGTTTTTCATTCGTAGCGGGCGACAGTCTCTCTCTCGGCCTTATGATGGTCATGATGCTGATTATTATCGTGTTCGTGTCAATAGAAGTATCACTAACTACGACTGAGTACTACTCATGATTTGTGACGACTATTCTGACGAGCCGCACAAATTATGATCCTTCTTGCTGTTAGCATTCTCACTGGTTGTTGTAGCATGCTAATTAGCCTGTTCTGAAACTTTGTACGGATTTGAAGGCGTGGGGGCGTTTTGGATGAACCTTTGGAAGGTGTCTTTTGTTTTGCGTGCTTTCGCACCGGATTTCAGAGAGGCAAAGGATCTTCATCAAAAATGCGCGGCTGACGAATTCATATATGCATGCATGCCAAGCCATGCCTCATGCATGCATCTACATATGCACGTACCCAATCATGTACAGCATCCTGCATACACAGCGAATCGCCAAACGTATCCACTGGACTCAGCAAGAAAGCCTTGATGCCCAAATTTCTCGATTTGGCACACGTCTCCTCAATTCCTCTATAGTCTCAAACCAAAGAAGTCTGGAACCTGTGGCTACACAGAGTCCCCTTGAGCTTCGCGGCAAGTCCCGCCGCTGCACCTTGGAATGCAGGACTCTCGATCGTCGGTGTCCCTCCCTCTGGCTCGCCTCTTCAAGAAGGGCACTACTAGGGCATGTTTGCTAGCAGTGCTGTTTGGATTGTATCATAAATCTATCAATCGTTCGCCTCATGCAGCCACTTGCCGGCAACCACCAAACACCTCACGACAAAACAGCCGCAGAGTGTTGAAGTAGCAACATCCAAAAGCAGCCAGAACCACGCACTGCAACTGAGCCGAGAAGCATTGTTCTGCGTTCTGCACCACAGTGGAGGAGAGTATCTCCTCCACATCCTCCGACAACTCACATGAGCTTCTCACAAGAAATTGCGATAGGTTTATCAACAGGGACTTGGGGGCTGAGTTTTTGGCCGGGCTCCCATAGGGCGCTGTGCCTTTGATCGGTGGGAACAGAGTACGACACTGACTGTGCAAGCATGACTATGACTATGACCTTCTCACCGTGCTGCGCATCACATTTAGGATTTCATGCAGCGTATGCCTGCTAAGTCCAGTCGATGACAAACACATCAGTTTCGGGTTTCTCTTGGTCGGGATCGCTGGCGACACAGGTGCATTGGCATAGATGACCCGTCCGTGGCGAACCTCGACCTTTCCTAGTTTCCACTAGGAGGTGCAGGAGGTTGCTGACGACACAAAGCCACGACCACGATACTTAATCCCAAGAAGCACATCTACCTCCGAAGAGCTTTGTCGGCTCAGATTGTTCAGGGAGTCTACACCTTCAGTCCCTTCAGAGTCCCAAAGCCGAAAGCTTTCACCGTGTTTTGCGGCCTCGGCTGCTTCCCACGCCTGCTCTGGAACTCCTGCGGCGCTTCCCTCGACCTCTTGAAGGCCTGGAGCCCTTTGCAGCTCTTTAGGGTTTATAGGGCAACTAAGCCATTCGCACTTCTGCTTGAACCCTATTCTGAAGATACTTTGGCTCTAGGCTCCAACAGATATAGACGTCCTCACGTGATGTACGTGAAAGCTCTCAAGGCGCGTCTGCTGCGTTTCGCTTCTAAAGCTTGAGGATTCGAGGGCTTTTGGGACGCATGGACCATGGATGGCTCCGCAGTTTGAGTGCTGCAGATATCGGAGGCAAGGTTGAGGCTGACACACGCATCCTGTATCATCCTGTGTGAGGAGGCCAGCCTGAAGATTTCATCCTCAACGAGTTCACCGCTACTCTTACCTCTGAATGCCTCTGGTGCGACGCCTTAGAAGAAATGGGATAATTCTTCGGCCACCCCTCAGCCAGACATCCATCGACCACTCCGTATCCGCACTCCCAGGTCCTATTTGGCCGTTCTCGATCTGGGGGGAGACGTCCGCCAGGTTGCTGCTTGCCTGGAGCCTTGCGCAACAAATTTGACCGCTGCAAAAACCCGTTACTCTACCCCGTCACACGGTTCGGTGTGCTGGCCACTTGATTACTGTCGGAAAAAGTGATCTCCACGAGCCTCTCACCTAGCTACGCATGCCATGACTTGGCAGATCCTGCATCCGGCAAGGTGTTAAACCAAATTTTTCAGCTGCAAGTTCGAGAGGTCAGAAGGCTGCTGCAGCACAGCCTGCCTAGCTCCGAGTTTCACGATATCGTGGACAACGACACGCAATGACTCTAGTTTGGTCTGGACTTGAAAGGGGGACAAACGCTCTGGATGAACCAGCTTTGTCTCGGGATAGGGCAAAGGGCTCAACTCTGAATTCCCATATCTTAAGGTATTCGTCATTGTGGTCCGGTCTTGCACACTTGCTCTGAGTAGGTATCCCTCGAAATGAGGCTCCCATCCCTCGGTCGAACTCCTTGCGGCAACATCTTCGATGATATATCTGCACAGCTACATCCTGGCTTTCTGCAGCAAAAACACCCGAGCAATCGCTCAGAAACCCTATAACCCTGAACCCTAAGCCGTAGGCCCTGGACCAGGGCCCTCGCCAGACTTGCTGCGAGGCATCCGCTTTGGGCTGCCAAAGCTCCAGGGAGTTTTCGAATCGAAGGAGCTCTTGCCTCAAAGCTTCGTTCAAGATGAAGGAAGAGGTTTCGGAGTTTGTAGAATTGGTAAACGCTATCTCACTCATAAGAATGCTGACCTTACCCCACTCAAAGCTACAAGTCTTGGAGCTTGCTAGGAGGAGTCTTGAAGCACTCTGAAGTTGATGCTAAGAGACACACTAGCATCAAAGCCAAAGCCACCCCTAACTTTCCGCACCACGAAAAGACTAAGCTCCCGCGCAGTTTCAAAACCTGCTGCTGTGGAGGCGCAGGTGCCTCCACTTCCATCTCGCACCACACACTTTCACTAGCATTTGGAACATTAAAGGTTCAGGTCACCTCTACGCACGCAGCAGCATCAATGGCTTGCTGACCTTGCACTTTTAAACGAGTGTGTCAAGAAACCTGCGAGCTTTCGGACCACCGGCACCGGGGTCCAAAGTCCCAGCATCAACCCGTGTGCGCTGCGCTGCCTGGTTCGCGCAATCCGTTGGCATCCACCAGGATGGGACCATAACAAACTGCTGCTCCTTCGCCCAAAGCAAGCGTCGGGCCAAGGGATTTCGAGTCGCGGGGCAGGAAGTGTGTCGTCCCATCCGGGTGACGGAATTTCAGGCTGGAGACCCCTGCAATGCAAAGCTTGAAGTTCGTGAATCTTGAGGACCTCAAGACCTGGGACCTCGGAACAGATCTTTCTAAGTACAAGAAGCTGAGGTCATTTGGAGGCCTAAGTTTGTGTGCCAGCAGATCCTAGGCCCTGCATACTGTGATCCGATCCGAAGGCACTGACCAACTAGTTCAAGGCCCAAACCTCAAGAACGACCAAAGCCCTCCCCTCTGTACTTAAGTGCAGCTCCGTCTGCACAGGAAGGTGCTGAGGAGGGACGGTGTATCTGGAATATGCCAGCCTGAGCTTTTGGGATTCTTACTGTGAGGCGCTTCTGCCGATGGTCGTGAACAGATTCTGCGTCTAGCTGTGTTCGGGGTCACTACATCGGACTCGACGAAAGAAGTGGTCGGGGACTCTCGAAAACTTTGAACTCCTTCACCGTCCTACGCCTCGCGCTCCCAACCTCCTGAACTCCCCCAAGCCCCCAAACGAACTCCCACAGAAGAACCCTCAAAGCCATATTCTCCATCTTAAGAGTCCGAAAACCTTTTTTTATACCTCTGGAGGCGGAGCTTGGATTTCTACTCCTGAAACTGAGTACCCGGCGAACATGTAATTGAATATTGAGATTGGGGGGAGGGTTGCGAGCTTTCGTCGAGGCACAGGGTTGAAGCATGCTACTGCCAACCACATGCTTGCAATCCTCACCTTGACACCCCTGCCACAAACATGCATACGTACGCATGTACGTGCGTACATACATGCTGCATAATACATACGTCAGTACGTACAGTTCCTACCTCCGTACCTACCTACCGTCTCAGCCTCAGCATCACCTGTCTCCACCAGCTTCCCTAGTCTGATGCTCCTGGGCCCTGCTGGAAGCGGAAAACCGCAGCTTGTCTTGGGCATGGATCTCCCTCGCTGCCTCTCCCTTTGCTAGCCACTTCCTCGAGTAATGAAGTCAGCTTGCTTGGTTTAGGACTAGGAGACTTACTGCAAGCCCCGCAAGGTATCGCAAGCAGATCCGTTCTGGGGTCGGTGCCTTGGGTCTGGCTGAACCGCATGCGCGCCATAGTTCGAAAACTGCATCTCAAACTGAGCTGCTGCTACAGGAAGGATTTGTGCAGCCTGACAGCGTTAACAACCTCAAAAGAACCTGCCGCCCCAATGATTCACCACATTGACAGTTCTGCAGCAAGAGTTGTACCATCTTGGGATTGTGCTTCAAACGCAAGGCTATCCAGTTCATCCCAAGTTTGGCGACCCAAGGCTCAGCCCCCATTCAGAAGGAACAGGGAGGGCAAATAAACAACCTGTGTTGCAGCGTCCTGCAGCCAAACGCCTGCGGTCAATGGCCGTGGCTTGAGCTCCGGGCCCGACCCGAGCTATGATTCAGGCTTAGTTGGAAACGTTTCGAAGCATCTTGAGCAACCGCACCAGGGCATAGCAGTCCGGCACTTCTTCAACAGTTGCTCCGGCTTTTGCCGGTGGAATCCAGGTTCAAGCCCAAAAAGCTCTCGCTGACAATGTACAAGCGAGAAGAGAGAGTTACCACGATAATAACAGGAAGTCATGTAATGACAAGAACAACTTCAGCAACCACCAAGGCAACAAACACAACAACAACAACAACAACAACAACAACAACAACAACAACAACAACAACAACAACAACAACAACAACAACAACAACAACAACAACAACAAAACAACAACAACAACAACAACAACAACAACAACAACAACAACAACAACAACAACAACAACAACAACAACAACAACAACAACAACAACAACAACAACAACAACAACAACAACAACAACAACAACAACAACAACAACAACATTTCATTCACACGCAGCGGGAGGATACTGTCTGTGGTGAAACTTAACGTCCACGCTTTGCGAGGGATCGACCTGCTGCTCTGCTTGCTACTTGCGCGGTCACTTCATGACGAGCCGTGCCTTAACACAGCACTCGCACACGCTCCGCCCCTCAAGGCTGCAAGCAATGAAGTCGGAATCGGACGTGTCTTCAGTGGCTCGAGCTGCAGACTCTGGCACTAATGAAGTAGTTAACCGGCTGATTTGCAATGTATCGCTGACTGATTGGCGACGTCCATTTTGCACACTGCTGTCTCGCGAGAGTGTCTAGCCTCGCTGTGAAGGCTCGGTACGAACCACTAGCTCTATGTTATAGTAGAGGCGGTGAGGCAATGAAACACTCAGTAAAGGCAGGCCAGGCGCCATTTCCAGCCCGTTGTTGCTATTTGTAGATGGCGGAGCAACTCCTGCCGGACTTGTGCTGGTGACATGAAGCTCTCCTGTCCCTGGATGGGAGATCGTTGAGGTCACAGCCTTTGGCGGTGGTCCCAGGGGAGAAACTCCTCCCGGGACTCCACCTTTCACTGGCACTCCAGGTGCCTTACCTGGGCCCGGTGTCCGATCTGTGCTAGATCCACTTCCTGACAGGTTAACAGGCATCGGAGGCGGCGGGCCCTTAGGCCCAGCTGCTTTAGGGGCTGCTTAGGGGCTGCTGTGTCTTCGGAGTCGGACTCCCGAATGGCGTCACTGGCTGGCGGCGACCTGGATAGGTGGGGCCGACGTCGCACTGGAGGAGGGGTTCGGGAGGTCGCTCTGCTGCCACTCTTCTTCGGTGTTTCAGGCATGGCTTCTACAGTCGAGACAGCTGGTGAGTTGAGCCTGTACGAGAAGGCAAGTAGAGCTTCCAGAAAACTTTTGGCTGACAACTCACTTGCAGATCCGGGCCCACGACTGCGCACGGAGCTTCACATGCGACCTCGGGGTATACTTGCTGTCTGGTGATGAAATTGAAGTGACCTTCAGCCTCATAACATAGATTTTTGCGTGAGCAGCTGCATTATCAGTGTGGGGAGGGACTCCACCATTAGGTGAGGGTCCTCACGATCAGAGCGGCCTGTTGTCGCCTCCGTACTTAGTACCTGATTTCAGGCTCTGGTAGTACTCTATGACAGAAGGGGGCACTTCGGAAGGGGTGAGAATGACGCCGTTCTTGCTACGGAAAAATTGCACCCCTACCTGCATGGCTCTGCGTGGATCGACCGCTACCAGCATCGACGAGCTATCTCTGAATCCAGAAACACCAGGTCTCCCATAGTCCCGATCCGAGACGAAGTGAACATGCTGTCGTCCCTCTCTGCCACGTCCGCCTTTGCCGCGGCCCTTGGAAATCTTGTTCTGAGGCAGAAGGCCTCGTTGGCGTATGGAGTCATACAAGGACCAGAATGTGCCATGATACAGCATTCTGGGGAGCATCTCCTCCGTGAGTTCCTCCAACACCTCATTGGAGTCCACATCAGAGCGAGAATGTCCTTGCAGAGCCCTGATGTACTTCTGGCCTTGGCAATCGCCCAGCTCGTACCTGCCTTTTGCGTTACTCCGAACGACCTCCATGAGGTCGCCTGCCGTGGCGTGCTGGGCCTGCACTCTTGGCCATCTCAGGACGTCCTCTAATTTGGCCCAACCAGCTGAAGTGACGCTGATGTAGGGTTTATGTCCGTGCCGGAGCGAAGCTGCTAGAGCCTTCGAGACTTCGAACGAGAAGCTGGTCTCCGGCTTCGTAGAGGCAGTGCAATAGTCCCCTAGATCGCCTGGTTGGCCCTCCCAGGCCACTATAGTGGAGCTACGTGGCGTTGTTGAGCTGTGGTCAATCTCTGACGCCATGGTCGGGGGAGAAACTCCACCCTGTGAGCTGGACGCCTGCTCACAAACCGGAAGGGGAGCAACTCCTCCTTCCTTGACTCCACTTGACGAGGCTTCGCCAGGCAGTTCGTATCCCAACGCCAAAAAGGATTCCCGTGCTTGTCTCAGTGGTATCTCCAACAAGCCACTCCACTCTCGGAGGTACTCACCTAAGGTGAGTGTCTCCTTGGTTGATATTTGCAGTAGCAGCGCTCGGATTTTGACTGCATCATAGGAGTATATCAGTTGGTTTGTTTTCTTACCACGTTTTTGCGATCCAGAGTGCGCAGCCTCCACCTCAAACATGGGCCGCACGAATATGTGCCGAGGTCCTATCCTCACCAGACAACTGTAACCGGCAGCAAGATGCCTGTTTGACATCTTGTGGAGATACACACCTGGTCGTGCCTCGAAGCTTCGCGTGCCGGAGAGGTCAGGTGTCGAAGGTAGTAGCCTGCCTGTGGCCAGTATCCCATGCAAACATTCCAGGTGTGTGCCGTGGAACGCAACCTCGCTGTCCCCTGCAGGAAGAATGTTCGGTGAAGAATACTCAAAACGAAACCACCCATTCTCCTCAGCTGTGGGATATCCAAGCTTCGGCTGCAGAGGCTCATTGGCAAGTCCCCGGCGAGAGGCCAGGAAGGTCTCCAGGAGAGCATTGGCTATCTCCGGGGAGGGTCGTTCCGCCTGATTGAGGCCATCTCGCAGCTGCTGAGTTACTGTCACCATAATTCGGTGATTGTTCAGGTCAGTGATGTTCCCATCACAGTCTGAAATCAGACTGGGAAAGGGCGTATAACCAGCTGACTGAAGAACTTTGATCGCAGCTTCCGTGATTGGGTCCCCCGAGGGAGGATCTCCACTCTTGGCCTTTGCTGCTGGGGGAGTATCTCCACCCTCGCTTTGCCCTGTACTTCTTTTCTTGGAAGGAGGAGGAGGGGGAGTGACTCCACCCTTTCCGCTTCCCAGCTCTTCCTGTCCACCAGTACCTTTAGAGACTCCTTTATATGCAGGATAGCTTTCGCCGTGAGCACGAGCGGAGCGCCTCCACTGGCGCAGGAAATTGCGATACGTGACATGCGGAAGTTGTTCACGTATCCGTCGCTGGCAGAATTCCTCGTACTCCGCTTGAAACGAGGGATCCTGTGTTGACTCAGGTCTGGACATGATGCTGAGTCT